AGTCACGGAACAGGGACTAAGCACCAGATCCACAGAAGCAGGGGTCTACCACACTAGACAGGACCCAAGGCGCAGACTGTGCAGAGAGGCCTCAGGGACAGTCCAACACATAGTGGCAGGGTGTAAGATGCAGGCAGGAACACCATACATTGAACGGCACAATCAAGTAGCTGGCATTGTGTACAGGAACATCTGCACAGTGTATGGGCTAGACCCGCCCAAGTCTAGATGAAATACTGAAATTTCAAAAGGGTCCACATACTTTAAAGCACCATTGTACAATCATAACTGAAATTGAATTGACAGATATACAGGCAACAGTCCATTGCTACAAATCAGGCATAGATTTCTGTTTCCAGTATTCTATGATAATTATTTTAGCCAGCCCCCACCTTCATAGGTTCCAAATACAGTGGTACCTCGGGATACGAACTTAATCCGTTCCGTGACTCTAGTTGCAACTCGAGTTGGTCTCAAGTCGAGGTAAAGTTTCCCATAGGGTTCAATGTAAATCTCGTAAGTAGACGCAAGTTCGTAACCCGAGGTAAAATTTCCCTGCCGAAGCTGGTCGTAACCCGAAATGTTCGTTAGTAGAGGCGTTCGTATCCCGAGGTACCACTGTACTGGGTATATAGGCACAATTAATGTAATTCATCTTTATACACAGTGATCAATCCAAAGTCATGTTATTCAATATTTGCCTGCAAATGTGGCAATAATAGGCCACAACCAAACCATATGAGGTAATGTTCCAATGCCTGAATTGGCACCAACAGCAAGGCAATGTTCAACCGTTATTGAACATTCTCATTTTTTGTGCTAGTGGTTGTTGTTGTACAGATCTTATTTTTGTTGGAATGGCAGCAGCAGCTGATCAAAGGTACATAGGATTAAAGGGATTAATTCCCAGTTCATATTTAATCATAACCAGAGAGGAAAAGAGAAATTGATTTGCCCATCACTCTCAGATGAACATATATATTCCAACATGATGGAAGCTTCTCCCTTGCAACTCACATAAGCAGCTCTTTACAGCCCAGCTCTGTTAGAGATATATATTGAAATAGTCTCCTTGTATGTAATTCATGTAATTGTTCTGAACCAGATACATTTTCTTTTGAATTTGAATGTTCTCTGAAAGCAGCTAAATCCCACTGATCCACTTTGCACTAGGCAACAAAGTTATATTCTGAATTCTAGTAATTTTAAGATCATAACAACTAATTTCATGTTGTTTAAAGAGATCCTCCATCGGTTTACTAGGACAGGATGTTCAAGCGTAATGTTCTAGAGGCTGCATAATAGTTTATTCACCTTCTTTTAGATTCCTTTAAAAAAGGGCTACTGGCTTAATTCTTCTAAGACCTCCAACTACTGGTCCACGTAAATGACATAACAAAAGTTTGGGTTGAATACATTGCCAAGAAGCACTCTGAGGAAATTCAAGCTCATTTTTAAAAAGTTTTAAACATGGGTTTCCCAAAACTGAATTGATCCCAAGTAGCAGTGTTGTGAGAGGCCCAGTTTTATCCCTCTGTCCAAAGTTTAGACACTATTTTTAAAACTGGAATTATCCTTTAGGTTTTTCATGCATAAATGGGCCAAAACTGTATCTTCCAGCCAGTACTTCCCATTCTGTGTTTTGCAGCACATATTGCAGGTATTGAAATTGTTCCCTGCCCAAACCCAATTCTTGGTAAGATTTCAATGAGATCAAATAATAATTGTCAAGCTAAGCCCAAAATAGCAGTAGATTCTGAAATCCCTTATTCCAATTAGTAATTGAAAGGAGAATAAATACCCACTAATAAGCCTAAAAATATAAAAGTTAAAACCATCTTTCTCAAAAATTAGCAAAATTTGCACAATGAAAATCTCTTAGGATGCCCTTGCCAAATAAATTTATTGAATATCCTGTACATTTATTTAAAAGAATGTAATGGAATAAATATGAGAAAGCCTATCAGAATATAACCAATCTTGGAGTTATATTAATCTTAATCGTGTTTATATTACCCCAAATACTCAAAGAAATTCTGGACTACACTGTGTGCACAATTATTAGACAAGTGAGTATTTTGACCAT